AAGAAGTAGGACCTACCAATGGCGCCCTCCAACCACATGCCCCCCCCCCCCCCAGTTTTTGAGATAAGTATATATAAAGAATCTTTATCGCTACACGCCAGGTGAGACCTAAATGTGGCCAACAGAGAGTGGAGAACCCGGATGTGTGTAAATGGTCAAACAAGCTCTGAATGGAGGGCCCAAGAACACTTGTATCCTCACGCCTGTTTTCTGGGATGGTGCACCCATCTACTCTTGATGGCCCTGACACACAGGTGGGCTTAAAGAAGCCTGCCTCCTAAACGATGCAACTTGTCTCGAAAGGGGATCAGAGGATTATTAATAACTTTCAAACAACTGTAAATACCCCCCCCCCCACCCTTCCACGAAAACAACAATAACAAACAGACAAATATACAAACAAAGAAACAAACAAATAAACGAACAACCCCATCAATTGGTTCACATACCGTATGCTTTTTTTTACACCCCCCTCTAGTTTCACTTAACTATTCAATCTTCTAATTGCGTTATTCTGGTACATTTCGGCTTCCCATTTTCAAAATCACTTTAAAACATCTTTGAAATATCTTTAAAACATCTTCAAAACATCTTTTAAACATCCTTAAAACATCTTAAAAGCATCTTTTGACTTTGATGTAATGGCGACCCGAATGTGGCTCCATAGAGAATGGAGACCCTTGATGTGCGTGCTACATGTAGGTCAAGTGAGTCCCAAAATGGAGAGACTAACGTTAATTTGTACAGAGTCCTTTTGACTTTTGAACTTCCTATCACATCCCTCTCTTTCACTACCCACATTCTCATACCCGCCTGTAATCAACAACCCATCACGTTCCTCGTTGGCATTATTGACCAAATTGCTGTTTAGAAACGTCAGCAATAAATCGTTCTACTTCGGTTAACTTTTCCTTTATCGTAATTCCCTTGTCTGTTCTATACATAGACGCTCACCACCATCCCCCACAACCCCCCCCCCCAAAAAAAACAAACAAAAAAAACCACAACAACAACCAAACAACCAACAACAAAACAACAACAACAAACACAACTTCCCCCTACATACTACAAAATGAGAATTCTTTGCCTCTCTTTAGTTATACTTATCTACCAACACGAGAAAGCCACCCCAGAACACCCGTAAACCACCTACTTGTCAGTTGCAATAAAAGTTGTAGCTGCCAGGCACTGTCCCCATACAAAGATCGCGAACTCAACAATGTCAAGCAGCACTCAAATGAAAAGTGCGCATCTTCTATAGTTTTTCAAATACCAACAACAACAATAATGATAATAATGATAA